GAAAATAAAGCACTCCTCCCACTATTGTTCACACCTCTCCCTGAAAGCATCAAGAGTGTTGGTGGACACTGTGTGCTGCCTCTCCAGGGACATCCAGACTCAAACATTTGCAATGGAAGAGGGGCAGGTAGTTGGCAGAAATGAATCCCTGTTAATGCCCAGCTTGGCCAGACTCAGGAGCAGACCCACAAGGATATCATGTTGTATCTTCAGTCAGGGCTCCCCGATTGGCCCATGTTGTTAATCAAGAATCTTATAGTCAATGGAGATACACTTGACCATGGTTCTGATCATGACATCCCTCCTGCCCTAAGTCTGGGCATGTAGGCCTGCTCCTTCTCTTGTAGCTTCTCCTGGGACGTATTCACCCCAGGTCTCGGTTCCTCAGACTTGGGCTACAATCTGGTATATCCTGCCTGTGTCCATCTCTTGCATCCAGAGTGTCTCAGGAGAGTTTCTTCCTCTTCTTCTGGTGGTACCGGTATTGAGGCTGCATCCAATTCAGACTCTGAAGTTTCCTCGATGCTGGATGGAGTGAGAGAGCCCATGGTCTCCCAGCCTTTCTGGTTGTTCTAAGGGGCCAGGTATGTTGATCTCCTGCTCCATTTGTGCGATAGCAGCTTTCAGGCAATCCACATTTTTGTTCAGGACCAGCTTACCTATCCGAACTTTGCATGTGACGGGACTGGACCTCAAGTTGACCTTGCCTTGTGTGGGCCATTTCAGTATTTCCAGCATTCATAGAACTTGGACACAACACCGTAAGACATAGGAGGAGAAATTAGGCCATTCAGCCCATCGGGTCTTCTCCGCTATTCAAATCATGGCTGATAAGTTTCTCAAACCCATTCTCCTTGCAATCAAGAACTATCTATCTCCGTCTTAAATATATGGAATGACCTGGCCTCCACAGCCTTCTGTGGCAGTGAATTCCGTAGATACACCACTCTGCTTGAAGACATTTCTCCTTATGTCCATTCTAAAAAGGTCTTGCCTTTACTCTAAGGCTGTGGCCTTGGGTCCCAGTCTCTCCTACCACTGGAAACATCTTCCCAACATCCATTCTGTCCAGGCCATTCAGTATTCTGAAAGTTTCAGTTAGATCCCCTCTCATCTTTTTAAACTCCATCAAGTATAGAACCAGAGTCCTCAAAAGTTCCTCATATGTTAAGCTTTTCATACCCGAGACCATTCTCGTGAACCTCCTCCAGGGTCAGTGGGGGACCCAAAATTGCACACAATACCCCAAATGTGGCCTGACCAGAGCCTTACAGAGCCTCAGTAGTACATCCCTGCTTTTATATTCAAGTCATCAAAATAAATGCCAACGTTGCATTTTCCTTCCTAACTACTGACTCAACTTGCAGGTTTACCTTGAGAGAATCCTGGATTAGAACTCCCACGTTTCTTTCCACTTCAGACTTCTGAATTTTGTTCCCATCTAGAAAAAAAAAATCAATTATGCTTCTATTCTTCTTACTAAAAGTACATAACCTAACTTTCCCACATTGTACTCCATCTGCCACTTCTTTGCCCATTCTCCTAGTGCTTAAAACATTTCTCCAAGGATGGGTGTGTACCTCGGAAGAGAAAAGTGAATGCCCCAGGTGCCCCAAGTGACCTACTTGGGCTACTGAGTCAACAAAACTGGGCTACACCTGTTAGAAGCTAAAGCGAGGATGTTCAAAGGGGCCCCGCTCCCATGTCTGTCCTGGAGCTTAGGTCTTAGAACACAAGAACCAGGAGCAGGTGCCCGCTCCACCATTCAATAAGAACATGGCTAATCTTTTTATGGCTCCAGTTCCACTTATCCACCCTCTCACCATAACCCTTTACTATTGAAAAAAATCTCAGCTTTAAAAGCATTCAATGGGGAAGCCTCAACTACTTCACTGGGCAGGGAATTCCAAAGATTCACAACCCTGTGGGTGAACAACTTCCTCCTCAATTCAGTCCTAAATCTGCTCCCCCTAATTTTGAGGCTTTGCCCTCTTGTTCTAATTTCACCCTCCAATGGAAACAACTTCCCTGCTTCCAACTTAAACTATTCCCTTCATAATTTGTGATGTTTCTATAAGATCCCCCCTCATTCTTCTAAATTCCAATCAGTATAGTCCCAGTTTACTCAGTCTGTCTTCATAATCCAAACTTCAACTCCAAAAATCAACTTTGTGAATCTCCTCTGCATCCCATCCAGCACCTGTACATCCTTTTCTAAGAAAAGAGACCAAAACTACATGCAGTCCTCCAGGTGTGGCCTCCCAGAACCCAATACACCTGCAACATAACCTCTCTGCTTTTAAACTCAATCCCTCAAGCAATCAAGGACAAAATTCCATTTACCTTCTGAATTTGGGTATTAATTGTGGCATACTGCTGGGAGCCCTCACCTATTTGCAATTGCAAGTAGGTGTGGCACTTGTCCAATTTCCTGAAGGACAGCCCTCCTGCCATTTTTGCATGCAAGTTATCTACCTGAGTGGTTGGGTATTTATCCAGTCGTGAGAAGAGGTTTACCATTTGCTTAAAATCCCCACAAAGTCAAACTAAGCAGTCTGGCTTCACAGTTGGTACAAATACTGCTGCCCATTCCACAAACTGCACAGCTTTGATAATTCCTTCTCTTTCCAGCCTCCTGACTTCCACCCCTACTTTTGCCTGTAAGGAAAATAGCATCAGGCAGGCCTTGCTAGGCAGAATTGCTTCCTGTTCATCACGTAAAGTGGCCTTGGCTCCTTTGATAATCCCAAGCCCTTCTGGGTATTTAGTTAGGACTTGACTCAGGCAGCCATTTTCTAATCAAATAATGTTAAGCCAATCAAGGTGAATTTTTCTCAATCAATTCCACCCTAGTTGACTTGGGCCCAAGCCTCTAGCTACAATCAATCAGTGGTAACTGAACCAATTGCTTCTCATACAAGACCAGAGCCAAAGTCGTATCCTTAATCTGCAATGGTTCCCTTGTATGTTCTCACTTCTGGCCAAGGTTTTGCACAAACCTTAAGGACTGGATCTGCAACCATTTGATACAGCTGCATATCAAACTCCAATAGGAACTAGGTGACCATTTAACCAGAGACTTTTATCTTAATTGTTTCTGATTTGGATGTTGCCAAGCAAATTAACTGTTGCAATCCACATGTCAGTGGACTATCCAGGCTGTGCACTCTCCTGGATACTGGCCCATGAGTTCCCTTACTCAAGTCAGGCCTCATAGGATCCCCTTGCTCTCTCAAGCCTGCATACCAGCAATAACTACAATGGCTTTCTAGCCCATTCTAAAGAATGTTTTAGTCATTTGGCAGAGGCTTGGCTTTGTTGTGGGTTTTTGCCCATGTCAGATTCTGCAATTGCCTACACTGAAGTGGTATTCCCCAAACTCAGACAGGTCAGGTGTCCATTTCCATTAGAATGCCCTGTAGCTCCCATGCACCACTTGCCACATTTTCTAATGACAAAGCCCGTTATAGTGCTATTTGAAGTTTAGTTGGGCTTCAGCTAGTAGGCACTTCTGCACAGCTATGTCATTTATTCCACATACCAAACAAACAGTCTCTGAGCATCTCATTCAGGGTCAGCCCAAGTCACATGCCTCTGTCAGTCATCTTAACTTCATCAAAAATCCCATTACAGATTCCCCAACTCAACAATGACTGTTGAGTGAGTTTTCTTCAGACACTTATGGGCCCACTCTCATTGCTACTGAAGTAACTACACAGGCTGGTATCCCATCACCAAGCCACCCTTGACTTACATGGGCTGTGACCAGACAGCTCAATGCTAGTCCCCAGATAAAGGAGACACACTGAATCTCCTGTTTATATGTTAGCTAGGGGTCCCTGATTGAGGTTGTTAACCTGAGCCAATCAAGAATCTAAGTCAATGAGATTCACCTGGCCATGGTTCCAATCACTACATCAGCAGACTTACAAACCATACCTTCTAAATGCTCATTCAAAATCATTGATATAAATGATGATTAACAGTGGATCAAGCACCGATCCCTATGGCACACGATTGGTCACAGATCTCTAGTCTGAAAAACATCCTTCTACCACCACCCTCTGTCTTTTACTGTCAAAAGAATTCTGTATCCAGTTAGCTAGCTCTCCCTGGATCCTGTGAGATTTAACTTTAATCAACCACATGCCATGCAGTACCTTGTCAAAGGCCCTGATAAAGTCCATGTAGATAACATCAACTGCACTGCCCTCATCTATTTTCTTCATCACCCCTTCAAAAAACTCAGCCAAATTCATGAGACACAGTTTACCATGGACAAAGCTATGCTGACTATCCCAAATGAGTCCATGCCTCTCCAAATGCCTATAGATCCGATCTCTCAGAATCCCCTCTCACTACTTACCCACCACAAAAGTTAGGCTCACCAGTCTGTAGTTCCCAGGCATTTCCCTGCAGCCTTTCTTAAATAATGGCAAAACATTAGCCAGCCTCCAGTCTTTGGGCACTTCATCCATGGCTGTTGATGATACAAATATCATGATACAGTCTGTTTGTCCAAGTTACTACTGTCACCTCAACAGGAAGAGTTGGCACCTCCCTCAATGCTACAATTTGAGACAATGGCAACTGACAAAAAACAGATTATGATGGTAGTTTAATGACATGCTCCAAGAGCAATGAAGTCATATGCTTCAATGGAATTTGTCCTGGGATGCTGCACAAGATGTATGATCACAATTTGTCCATTCTTGAATGCAAAATCTGGTGAGTTTAAAACAGGCTGCCAATTTAGCCAATTGTTGCCTCCTCCAAACAGGTACCTGCCTTTCAGTGATGCAGTATTTTGTGGAAGTTAAAAGTCTTTGTTAAATTGCAGTAATTTGTCAAAAAGGATTTTCTAAATGTGGGTTCAGCAGAGTTCCTTGTTGTATCTGTCAGGTGAAATTTAATTATCACTTTAAAAAAGTTACCGATGCTAAATAATAAAACAGTTTCATTGCACTCTTATCAGTGTTATACTATGATATTTTCTTCAGGCGCACTAACAAGTCTTGAAAAAGCTGCAGTCCTGAAGAGTGAAACTGTTGATCTTTCCCAGCTGCGCTCGTTTGAACAAGTGACTGCTGCAGCATCCAACCCAGAAATAATTCTACAGCTTGAAAATGTACTTTTGATGTGGCACAATCAACTGGAACAGGTTTGTATATTTAAAAAGTTTAATACTTGATGATTCAATTAGCAACTTGGATGAGATAACAGTCTGGATTTTCTGCTGGCCAGACAATTGTTATTTCAGTGTAGATATGAGAGACACAGTGACCCTGCAGAATCCATATTGTCACAGACTTGGAAGGAAATGTCTGGGAAATTGAATTTAATGCAATTTAATGAATTTAATTTTATTCAGGAAAAGTTAGACTATGAAATACATAGTCAGACTCCTGGGTAACTATTAAACTGACCCGATACTTACTTCATAGAGATGCAACTACAGAACAGTTGTAGCCCCCAGACTGTGACCTGATAAACCCCCAGGACCCAACCCAATTCCCTGCTGACCTGACTTCCCCAGATCCAGTGCGCTTTACCTGCCCTAACAGATCCGATTTCTCCCACCTGCCTGACCTACCCTAAACACTATGTAACTTATCTTGCCACTTTGCACCCAGGCATCCTACCCCTTCCTGCTTAGTGTCCTACCCATCTGCCACCCTACTTACCTGGCACCCTAGCCACATGGAATCCTACTTAGCTGGCGCTCTCCTACCTACCCATCTGCCATCCTACCACAGCATGCAAAGTTCCTCCCCAGCTGGAACCCTATGCAGCTGGCACACTACTTACCTGGTGCCCTAGTATCTACTCATCTGGTATCCTACTCCATACTCAGTTAACATCCTTCCCAACCTGACACCCTACTTACCTTGCACCCTACCCCCTCTTCCCTCCAAGCACCTGAGCATCACACTTACCTTACTTACTTATTGTTTGACAGCAACTGATTTCATAGTATGGCAGCTGAAAGCTATGAAAACGGAATGTGGTTTGTCTTCCTCTGATGATTCTGTGTTATGAAGGAAATTACAGAATGGAAGAATGGCTCTGCAGCTTAGGGAGCTCGTATCTGAATCTCCTCTCAGAAATGTGCAGATCCTTTCCTTAATAAAAAAAGTTGACAAGGTCTCTCATGGTAGGCTGGTCCAGAAGTTGAAGTCACATGGGATCCATGCTGAGTTGGTAAGTTGAATATAAAATTGATTTGGTCATAGAAGACAGAGGGTTGTGGAGGGGGTGATTTGCTGACTGTCTGCCTGTGACCAGTGGTTTTCCACAAGGATCAGTGCAAGGACTTCTGTTGTTTGTAAGATAAAAAATGATTTGGATGAAAATGTAAATAGTCTGATTAGTAAGTTTGCATATTTCATGAAAACTGTGGATAGTGAAGAAGGTTGTGAAAGGATAGAGTAGGATATTGATCAGTTGGAAAGTTAGGTGGAGAAATGGCAGATGGAGTTTAATCTGGCCAAGTGTGAGACCATGCATTTTAGGAGGTCAAATAGTCATAGAGTCATAGAGCACGGAAACTGACGCTTCCATCCAACTCGTCCATGCTGACTAGAGAACCAAATTAATCCCATTTTCCAGAATTTGGCCTATGTTCCTCTAATCCCTTTATATACATGTACCCATCTAGATGCCTTTTAGATGTTGTAATTGTGCACGCCTCACCACTTCCTCTGGCACCTCATTCCATACACGCACCACCCTCTGCATGAAAAAGTTGCCCCTTAGGTCCCTTTTTAAATCTTTTCCCTCTGACATCTCTGACGCTTCAGGGGAAATATAACTCCAGCCTATTCAGTCTTTCGCTCAAACCCTCCAACCCTGGCAAAATACTTCTAAATCTTTTCTGAACCCTTTCAAGTTTCACAACATCTTTCCTATACTAGGGAGACCAGAATTGAACACAGTATTCCAAAAGTGGCCTCAGCTGCAACATGACCTCCCAACTCCTATGCTTAATGCTCTGACCAATAAAGGCAAACACCTTCTTCACAATCGTGTCTATCTGTGACTCCACTTTCAAGGAATTATGAACCTGTACCCGAGATCTCTTTGTTCTGCAATGCTCGCCAGGACCCAACCATTAAGTATATAAGACCTGCCCTGATTTGCCTTACCAAAATGCAGCACCGCACACTTATCTACATCAAACTCCATTTGCCGCTCTTCAGCCCATTGGCCCATCTGATCAAGTACCATTATACTCTGAAATAGCCTGCTTTACTGTCCATTGCTCCACTAATTTTGGTGTTATCTGCAAACTTACTAACCATACCTCATATATTCACATCCAAATCATGTATATAAATGACAAAAAGCAGTGGAGCCAGCACTGATCCTTGCGCACGCTGCTGGGTACAAGCCTCCAGTCCATTAAATACCTCTCCACCATTACCATCTGTCTCCTACCTTCAAGCCCATTCTGTATCCAAATGGCTAGCTCTCCCCGGATTCCAAGTGATCTAACCTTAATAACCAGTCTACAGCGTGAAACCTTGTTGAATGCCTTGCTGACGTCCATTTAGACAACGTCCACCACTCTGTCTTCAGCAATCTAAATGAGACAGAATTTCCTACGCGCAAAGCCATGTTGACTATCTCTAATCAGTCCTTGCCTTTCCAAATACATGTAAACCCTGTCCCTCAGAATCCCCTCCAATAACTTATCCACTGCTGATGTCAGGCTCGCTGGTCTGTAGTTCTCTGGCTTTTCCTTACCACCTGTTTTAAGTAATGGCACCACAGTCTTCTGGCACCTTAACTGTGGCTATCGATGATACAAATATCCAAGCAAGGGGCCCCGTAATCACTCCTCTAGCTTCCCACAAAGCTTTGGGATATACCTGATCGGGTCAAGAGAACATGCAAGAGGGAAACTGGAGCATTGATATGCAGAGGGATCAGTACAACTCAATAGCTCTTTCAAAGTGGCAACACAAGTGGATCAGATGATAAAGAAGGAGTAAGGTACATTTGCCTTCATCAGTTGAGGCATTGAATATGAAACTTGTCAAGTCATATTGCAACTATATAACACCTTTATTAGGCCACATTTGGAGTATTGTGTGCCATCCTGGTTGCCACACTATAGGAAGGATGTGAAGGATTTGGAGAGTGTGCAAAAGAGGTTTATCAGGCTGTTGCCTGGATTGGAGTTTGTTAGCTATAAGGAGAGTTTGGACAAACTTGGATTGTTTTCCTCAAGCATTGGAGGCTGAGGGGCGACCTGATAGAAGTATACAAAATTATGAGAGGCACGATAGAGTGGATAGTAGGTGTCTTTATCCCAGGGTCGAAATATCAAATACTAGGACACATAGATTTAAGATGAGCGGGCAAATTTTAAAGGAAATGGATGAGGCAAATTTTTTTATACAGTGGGTGGTAGGTGCCCAGAATGTGCTGCCAGGGGAGGTGGTAGAATCAGATAAGATAGAAAAGTTTAAGAGGCATTTAGACAGACACACGAACAGGCAGGGAATAGAGGAATGCAGACCATATGCGGGCAGATGGGATTATTTCAGAATAGTATCATGGTTACCACTGAAATGGTGGACGGAAAGGCGTGAGATTGCCTTTTCTTGGAGAATCCAGCCTGATAAGCTCACGGTATTCAAGTTTTATCTTCTGAATAATTATTATAGAAAAAGCTAATGTTAGAAAAAGTGGTTTTCCAAACTGTTGTCAGTTTTGGAAGTAATGCATCACAATTCTAATCAGACTTTATCATGATTTCTCAGACAAACTTTGATTTTATAATTCAAGCATTTATCATAGACTGGTGCTACTTAAAGGTACAGTTGTACTTTTAGGATAGGGAGGGGCAACTCTGAATTTTGCTGTGTAAATCTTACCCCTCACTTGACTTGGTTCCGCAAGAGACGAGGTACCAGCTGCTTCAGTGTGTCAGGCCCATTGTTGAGTTTGAGCCCAGTTCAGGACTCAGCAATATCACTGGACGCATGGCGGTGACGATGTTGGTGGAGGCAAGTTGGTGCCAAAGAATGGCGTCACGGTTCCAGCGGCAGCATCTCAATTCCAGTCCATTGTTGGGCCCGGGTATCTGATAGTGTAGGCGGTGGCCTTCTGCCTGTGATAGCATGGAAGGCATTTGATCTACCTGAATGTTTGCAGACTGTGGAATAGACTTTGTTTTTCTGGCAACGAGGACTCATGGCAGAGGCGGGTTCTGATCTAGGTGTTTAGCTTTTTTTTGGCTATTTCTTTTATTTCTGCTTCTGTTTTTATTCCTGTCTTTTGTATATTAAAATGACGCAGAGAATGTACAAAGTGACTTTGTACACTTTTCACTGTACTCCCGTATTCCTGTACTCAAGTACACCTGACAATAAAATCTAAATCCCAAATAGACAGCTTGTTCCTCAATACATTTCACTGGAGACATAAGTATACAGTAACCTGGGAGTGAATAACTTTTAAAGGAGTTTTTATGGACTAGACCAACCCCCTCGAAATATATTAAAGGCAAGTGCCAGGTGTTGCATTCTGGATGTAGTTTGATTGGTCAAAAAAATGAACCATCATTGTACAAAGGTGGTTTCATTTTTAGAAACTTTTACTAGTAGACTACAAAATATACACATTACTTTGATTTGAAGCATGCAAATATTCACTACTTCTGTTCACTTCAGTCCATTTTCTCTTGCCACCAAACACCTCTGTTTTGCGTTGTCAAAGTTGTGACAACATATTGGGCAGTTACATGTTCACATCCTGCCACATGTATAATTTTCAAACTGAATGGTTGCAATAACAAGCTCGAGATAAACAGTCTGGAATTTTTGTCTTTAAATTTTTTCAAAAACTGTAAGGGTTTATGCTCAGTATATACAATTGTCTCAGACACATTACTGGCATTATAAATGTTGAAATATTGCAACTCCAACACCACTCTCAAGGTCTCCTTCTCAATTGTGGATTATTTCTGTTGGTGATTATTCAATTTTCTTGAAAAATAGCCAATAAGTCTTCCTATCCGCTTGTGGTCTTCTTCCCAGAGTTTGGCACTGACACCCACAATGCTCACATTGATAGCCGCCTTGAATGACACTGCATAATTCGGCATGGGTAATACTGAGGCAGTGGTTAACACAGCTTTCAGGCTATTAAATG